TACAGAGAGGTTAGAGAGGGAAGGATTTTTTCTTCTTTTTGTTCTGTTTTTTAAAAAAAAACCTTCCTTTCCATATCTCTCCGTAATTTTCTTCTTCAATGTTCCTTAAAAATGAAAACTTTCTGAAAATTTGATTAGAAACAAGAACAATTTGATATGATTGGCTTCGTCTTTTCTTTCATACGCTCTTTTGAGATCTGTATCAAGATTTCGTTTTTTTAGGGTTCTTGTTGCTTCATTCGCTTTATAAATGGGTAATTGTTGTGGAACTGCTGGATCGTTGATTGATAAACAGAAGAAAGGGATTAAAATGGTAAATCCTTTCTCATTCGATCACCACCACCACGACAAGCTTAAGCTTATTGTCCTAAAGGAACCAACTGGTCGAGAGATCAAGGTGAAATACAAATTAGGTCGAGAGTTAGGTCGTGGAGAATTCGGTGTCACGTATCTTTGCACAGATGTCGAGACCGGAGAGATTTTCGCTTGCAAATCGATTCTAAAGAAGAAGCTGAGAACCGCGGTTGATATAGATGACGTTAAGAGAGAAGTAGAGATCATGAGACATATGCCTGAGCATCCAAACATTGTTACGTTGAAAGAAACTTATGAAGACGATAAAGCTGTGCATTTGGTTATGGAGCTTTGTGAAGGCGGTGAGCTTTTCGATAGGATTGTCGCGAGAGGGCATTATACGGAGAGAGCTGCTGCTTCGGTTATTAAGACAATCATGGAAGTTGTTCAGGTTTGATTTTGAGGTTTTTGATGTATGAATGTTACATTTGCTTGAAAAAGACTCAAAATGCATTTTCTTGGATAATCTTGAACTTTTTGTGTTTCCATGTGTGTTGTAGATGTGCCATAAGCATGGAGTAATGCATAGAGATTTAAAACCTGAGAACTTCTTGTTTGCAAACAAAAAGGAAACTGCGTCTTTAAAGGCGATTGATTTCGGTCTCTCTATTTTCTTTAAACCAGGTAATGGTTTATTATCTTGAATGCTTGACCAAGATGCTCTGTTTCAAGGTATTGGAAGCAGTCTTTAACCAACTAGTGTTCTGTTTTTGTAGGCGAGAGATTTAACGAGATTGTTGGGAGTCCTTACTACATGGCTCCCGAGGTATTAAGGCGGAATTATGGACCAGAAATCGACATTTGGAGCGCAGGCGTAATTCTTTACATATTGCTTTGTGGTGTTCCACCTTTTTGGGCAGGTTTAGTTTTGACAAATGACTTGCTTTTGTGTCAGTTTTTGTAGAGGTAATGAAAGTCTTTTGCTATCATGTTTGTTTGCAGAAACCGAACATGGAGTCGCGAAAGCAATTCTTCGATCTGTGATTGATTTCAGAAGAGACCCATGGCCCAAAGTTTCTAACAATGCAAAAGATCTGATAAAGAAGATGCTTCATCCTGACCCAAAACATCGTCTTACAGCTCAACAAGTTCTTGGTATCATAAACTCGCTTTCGAAAGCAATTGTTTTTCGTCTCATCATATCAAATAATTGTTAATTAAGACTCAAATCATCTTGGTGTTACAGATCATCCTTGGATACAGAATGGTAAGAATGCTCCTAATGTATCATTGGGTGAAAACGTAAGAGTAAGGCTTATGCAATTCTCTGTTATGAACAAGCTCAAGAAAAGGGCACTCAGGGTAAGCAGTACCTCTCTTCTCTTGAAGTCATAGTCGAAAGAGCTTAAGATAGTTTACGCGTGGTTTTATTAACTTCCTTTCATAGGTTATTGCTGAGCATTTATCAGTTGAAGAAGCATCTTGCATAAAAGAAAGATTCCAAGTAATGGACACAAACAATAGAGGAAAGATTACTGTCGACGAGCTAAGAATCGGATTGCAGAAACTCGGGATTGTCATTCCTCAAGATGAGATTAAAATTTTGATGGACGCGGTTAGCGATTAAGCAATAACTTCCAATGATGATTCAGAGTTGTTTTAAACACAATGCATTGACTTTGGTGGGTTTGATATTACAGGGAGATGTTGATAAAGATGGATACTTAGACTTTAATGAATTCATAACCTTGTCGGTACACATAAGGAAGATGGGAAACGACAAGCACTTAAAGAACGCTTTTACATTCTTTGACCAAAACAAGAGTGGTTATATCGAAATAGAGGAGTTACGAAATGCTTTGGCTGATGAATTTCACACTACTAGTGAAGAAATCGTCGAAACCATTATTCGTGATGTCGATACGAATAAGGTTAGTCCCATTATAAGAATAATTTTTGTAGTGTTAAAATTGCGCGTAAAATGATTAGAAATTTGAAATGTTCTTGAACTGGAAACTTTTTCAGGATGGAAGAATAAGTTATGAAGAGTTTGCAACGATGATGAAAACGGGAACGGATTGGAGAAAAGCTTCGAGGCAATACTCGAGGGATCGGTTTAAGAGTCTTAGTCACAAGCTGATGCAAGATGGGTCATTGCATTCTAATGGGGGTACAAAGTAAAGCTTCAAATCCACAACACATATCTACTTATTTGAACCAAAGGGAAGAAAGATATTTG